GGGGTGGGGTGGCAGTTTTCTGGTCGAAGCAGGCGGCCTCTACAATAGTTGCGCCTCTACTATTTTGGTGTTCTACTAGTTGTTATTCGTCTTTTGGTCGTTCGTAGCCTCTGTGTCGTTGTGCTGCTCCGCCTTGGTGGGGTCAGGGGGTGTCCCGGGCCGTCCCGGACTTGTCCGTGTGGCGGGGTCGGACCCCACCCTTGTATTTTTTTGGGGGCGCCAGGCGCGCCATCTCGTTTTTGCCGTTGTGATTTGTGTTTTCTACATGTACTGGTGGTGGTTGCGCTTTTGTTTGCGGCACCGCGCGTTGCGCTCTGGCTGCGGGCCTCTGCCTCCCATGGGATGAGGTGGTGGGCACGCGCGCGTTTCAGCGCCCGATGGGCAGCAGTGGAGGAGGCAGAATTATTTTTATACCATCAGTACCAGCGCGCGCGAGCGCAATTGGAGGATAAAACTTTTTAGTCACAACAAAACGCAAACATGCAATTTCTGGAATTACAAAACCAAATGGCACATGTTTGCCAGGAAGCCATAGCCGCAAAAACGCCATTGGAAGAAATGCAAGCGCAATTTGCGATGGCGCCACAACAGCTCTCGCAAAGAGAGCTTCAGTGGCGGAATTGTCCCACCCAAACATAAGAGCAGCAGAGGGGTCAACTTGGAAACAAGAAAACATTTCCACTCAACCAACCATTGATGTATCACACATGGCTTGGCAAGGGGATAACGCAGCTACGGATCACGTGGAAAGCCCAAGTTTGGGTTATCGGGGGATACACGAACTCTGACAGATGGCATGGAGCGAGGTAATCAGTCCGGAGGAAAAGATCCGTTCCTTTTAAGGGAAATGATAGATTATTTGATGAAGACATCACCCAGCCAATTGGTGACTGACCGCATACCGGGAAACTTTTCCCATGACGGCAAATTCTGGCCCAGCTTAAAACGGCGCATGGAATATTTTTCTGCAATGGAGACACACATTATTCGTAATGAAGGAATGACGGCGCAACAGGTTCAAATGGGATGATAGCTTTACAAGCAGACGCGGATAATACGAACAGTTAAGGATTTCCCGGGAGTGAAGATGGAGGACATTCGGGAGGCTATCGTTGAGCCTTAAAAGCGGGGATGATCCTTTCATACAGACCACCGTGGAGTGGAAAAGGAAACATTCGGCTCCACCACCTCCCAACAAAGCACACTGTTTCTGCTGTGATCGTATAGGCCATTACATCTCTACGTGCCATGTCGCTTTGCAAAAAGAACCTTTTAAACCAAAGAACGATTTTCGGTTCCGGAAACAGTGAATACCGGGGTTCAGGGTAGATAGGGTATCAACGGCAATTGGATATCCAGGATTGGATAAGCCCACTCAACACCATGATTTTCTTCCGCTTACACATTCGAATGGTGTCACAAAATATTATCAAAGGAGAAACACAAAATCAGTACGCACATGTACAACACTTTTAAAGGTGGTTTCCCACTAATAACAGCTCACCCCACCCAAGGACGACTTTAATAAATGATGTTACTTTAATACCCGCGCGATCCCACGATCCGCACATCGTGGCATTGACTTCAGAGGCCAAAGGAATAGATAGAGAGAGTTTTGCACTCGCACGGAATACGGGCCACTTGGGGTTACGTCGCATCAAAGAACAATCCTGCGGAGGGCATATTTAGATGGCAAACCGCAGCCATATGAAAGTGTCTAAAGGGTGGAACTTGCAATGGGCAGAGCGGGTTAAAAGGGCTTCTAAGCACTTCCTTTTTCGTCAGTTCTGTTATTTATTAGGGAACAACCATCGGGGTAAAAAAAAAAATAATACCGAAATGAATATATATTACGGGAATGGAGGGTTCAAGGCGATGAAGTAACTTATTTTCTCTTTTTCTTTCTTCTCTTGTCTTTAAGGAGAAAAGCAAGGCTTAAAATATTCTTCTAGTGAAAAGAAGGAAAGAAAAGGGTAATATTTAAAAATAGAGCGTTCAGAGGAATAAAAACAACAGTATTATACACCCTCTTTCTGTGTAAGTGTGTCCTTTTGCTTAACTATGTTTTTTTTTTCCATGTTTTTCTTTCTTTCTTTCACACTTGTAGTATGGGGAGTTTTGTATAGTCACAACAACTTGAGAAGGTGCACACCTTACACACATGTCTCTTTTTCTCTTTTTTTTTTTTTTCTTTCTCTCTGTCTCTGTGTGTGTATGCGTGATTCATTCCTCGGGTATGTTTTTTTTTTTTCATTTATTTCCCTACTTCCCTCACGTTACTTTCAACGAAAAAGTAAAAGAAAAAAAAAGAAAAAAAACCGTATGAATTCTTTTCACCTTCAAAGGAGTATACAAAACTACCAAAGACGAGGAGAATGACGATGTGTGTATTCTTCTGCATGAGTGTATGTATGCAGATCTCTTCTGGTTCTTCTATCTCTTTCTTCCTTCCAAACCACTGACAATCCCCATATACACACACACACGCACACAGAGATATAATCCCAAAAACACATCTTCCTATCCCCCTTACTGCGTCAGAAGGTATAGTTTCTTTGCCTTTCTCATCCCCCAATTCTCTTTACTGTTACACTTGTTATTACAGAAAGGGATTCTGCTGTAGAATAACAGTATCACCTGAGGAAACACTCACGAGTAAACCACCTCGAATAACACATGCGCCAATACGCCGTACAAGTGCGTCTTTTACCCACAACTCCCCGTTTGCGATGACGAGATTGATGTTGTTATCAAATCCTTTAAGTACACCATGGACTTCCTTGTCCACTAGCGACACTACAACGCGTCGATCAAGATGGGGCTCCAATGCGAGAATACTTTCTTTCTTTTTAAGAATGTGTGCGAGTTCTGCTGCCATCGTTACTGTTTTTATTCACCCCTATGACTCTACCACACCCTAGATCAAAAGAATATAAAAACAATACCAACACCAACAAAACACACCACTTTAGGAAAAAAAAAGAATAATAAAAAAAAGAATAATAATAAAAAAGAATAAACAACAAGAAGAAAAACACACACAAAGAAAGAAACAGAGAAAAAAATATTTTCAAAGCAAGCAAGTGAAACATATTGAAATAAATAATAAATAGTAATAATCGCAAAAAAAAAGAAAGAAAGATTCCTTCTCTTCCTTTCCTCTCCCTCAGCCCCACCCCCTTGCTTCGCCTAAGGTGCGGTCCATTCCAATGATCGTGGGAATTGCTCATGGTTCACAAATGGCAAGTCCTGCAGATCCTTCTCTGGGTGATGTAACTCCATCTGTTGCACAGGAATAGGATGAAGTAACCACGTCTGGTCTTCTTCAAATGGTGTCTGATCTGTCTTTCCAGGTACCTGCTGCATTGGCCAAAGTCGATTCACATTATACACCGGTGCTGGTTCCGCCGCGTGTGTGAATTGTTTATCCAAGTATCGTGCGGTATATGCCATCCAGTCATGAGCGGCATCTGGTTCACGTGGGGTTTGCGGGAATCGTGAGGTAGCGGTGTGATACTCATGTGGGAAAGCCGCTGCATTCGCTGGCATATCAGGAATATGCATAGATCCATGTTGCTGTTGCTCTTGTGCAAGTTCGGCTTCTGTACGGGCAAGAAGAGCGTCTGTAGCGGCTTTCGGACGAAGTTGCGGCTCCACATGACGACGCGGATGAGCCGCTGTGGGTGGTACACGTACATACTGTTGTTGTTCTGATTGCTGGAGAAGTGCTGATAGTCCTTCTATGCCGCCGTTGTGTTGCTGTAATTCTTCTACTGTACAGTGTAGACGAGCGGCGATACTAGCAGGTGTATCACTAGCGTATACCGGTTCAACGGCACTGAACTCCGCCTTAGAGGTGGCATCCCAACAGGAAACTGGTACAAGGAGTTCCTTCACAGAGGCATCAAACATACCTTCACCTGTTTCGGTTTGTTTGTATGTGAGAGCGGCGTGACTGTTGAGTTGCTGTAGTTCTTCCACTGTACAACCAAGTACAGCAGCAGCTTCTTCCCATGTTTGAATACGCTTTTTCCCTTCTTCTTTTGTTGTTGTTGATGATGATAACGAAGTCTGTAGTGGTAACACACGTGGTACTGCACCAAAACTACTCAAACGACGTGTAGCATTTCCAGGTATATTAAGTACAACACCCACTGTAAGCGTTTCCACAGACGGATTCTCATCTTTAAGTTCTTGTACAGTGCAACCCAATTGTTGTGCCAGGTGATTCCAATCTGTTTCACCCTCCATCACAGTATGTACGCTAAGACGATTTACAGGTGCACTTTGCCAATCTAATGCAAATGAAAAGAGACGATGGTGTTCATGTGTTGTGGGAGTAGCGGGATCATGTTCAGTGGGAAACACAGAAGCATCATGGAGAATGTTTTTTCTGTGAATTGTATGAAATTCACAAGAGGTCTGTCGATGTAACCAATGTCTTATATCATACATACGTTTTTCAAATTCTGTGCTTTGAAAAGGTAACTTACAGATAATAACACGAAAGTGTTTACGAAACTCATAATGAGCAGTAGACATCTCCAACTCTGTAAAGGAAGTATCAGAAGAGGATGTCCAAAACTCTGCCATACGTACCCAGGGTTCTAACTTTTCCACATGTGGCCAAGAGACTTGTGGATCATAAAGATTAGTGGCTCCTGGTATAGGTACATTACAACGATTGATAACAGATATACATTGTTGTTCTAATCGTCGTAATTCACTACGAAGAAAATTTGCCACTTCTTCCGCATCATACATATCAGCGGTATTTCCAAAAGGTCCTACACGTGCAGCATTAAAGGCAGCTAAAAGTTCACTATCTATGGCCCCTCCATCATTATTATGTTTCACCTGACTATTCTTATTCTTATTATTATGATTATTACCATTGAGACCTTGCAACATATGCCGTACAGATGTGAGTTTCTCTTCCATTAATTGTCGTCCCACATCACGGAGAAACATACAAACATCCTCCGCTAATTTCATAACATGATGATCCCAAAAACCTTCTAATACAATTTTATACGTTACCTCTGATCCTTGAATACCATCTTCATCTGTATTTTCAAACACAAATCGACGATTACGTGCTTTAGAAACTTCATACTCATACCAATCTTCTGTTTTCCAACGAAAAGGGAATTGACTACGGTCTACAGGAATATTACCTGCACATGGTAGTGGTTCTTCCAATCGACCCACATCTCGTTGTACTTGCATAGGCGTTAATACACGAGAATGTTGTTGTTTTTCACGTACAGCACGATCCATAATAGTTTCTAATGTAGGTGGTGGAGTAGTTTGATTTGCCTCATTCATTTTTGTTAAATATGCATCTCGAAATGGAAATCCTTTCTCTCCTTTTCCACGTGACATACGTATATCTCCTTTACTATTATTATTATTATTATTATTATTATTATTATTATTGTAACGAGCAAATTCCCGCATATACTGCACATATTCCCTTCCTTTTGCATCAAATTCATTATATGGACGAAAACGAAAAGCATTCGCTGGTGCACTGGCTGTCCAAGGTTTATAATCACCAAGATGATGAGTCATAGATGTACATACATACCAACTATCCACATATTGATCTTCTGGTACATCAGGACGAACAAGTGGACCTCGAATACTTAAGGGGAATTTATCATCTATAGGATCAATAAACTCATTTGTTTTTGTGCTGTTCATATTCTGTGGAGCTGCCACTGGGGCAGGACCATCAAAACGAGGCATAGGAGATGCGATACGGTAACGAGACCAGTAGTAGGGAACTATAAGACTCCGCCGAATCATTTTTTTTTTTGTTTTCTTTCTTCTTTCTTTTTTCAATGTTTTTCTTCCCTGAAAAAAAAAAATATTAATTCTTATTATATGTTTTCCTCACCTTTTTTTCCCTCTTTTCGTTTTTTCTTCCTCTTTTTTTCCCCCTTCCTACCACCTTTTTCCTTTTTTTTTTTTTTCTTCTCCTTGTGTCTCCCTACACAGACACACTTCTCCCTCTTTTTTTCTTTCTCTCCTAGCAAGGGACTCTCTTCTATTTAATACCCCTTTTATATTTGTACTCTTTTTTATTTGGTTAGTTTTATACAGAAGAAAACAAAAAAAGAAAGAAAAAGCACAAGAAGAGTTCTTAAAAAAAAAAAAAAAACAGCTACTGAGCCAACCATACATACAAATATATATATATATTTAAGATAAAGGATTATTAATCCATTACCTATGTGCAAAGGATTACTAACACAGATTTCATATTCGTTTCCTTCACCTTTCTCTCTCTCTCTCTCTCTCTCTCTCTCTCTCTCTCCCTCTCTCTCTCTCTATATATATATGATCTTCTTTTTCTTTATTTTTCCTTTTCTCTTCACTTGGCAGTGGCTGCTGTATTTCGCACAGAATCCACAACCCAACCAAACTGTCGAATAAATTCTTCCTTTGCACGACAACTGGCGGTATCCACTGGTGCTTGTAGAGCCTCTACACCTGCTGCCTCCTCTACTGTACGGAAAACAGAGAACCACAGTAATCCATCTGCCTTACCGCGAATAAGTGCCACCTTTCCATTACGTATACTTTTACTGAAATGGACAATATCACCAGGGGCAAAGCCAAGACCTGTTTCTGGTGATGTATCTAAGAGAATCTTATCACCTGATTTGGATATCGCTTCCACTTGCATTTTTTTTTTTTTCTTCCCTTTGATAACGTTAATAGTATGATTGATTGTTTGATATTAAAAATGATTAAACGAATAATGTTGTATGTTTTTTTTTTCACAACTATTCGTTTTTTTGTGTTTTTTATTATTATTATTAGTAGTAGTAGTAGTATTATTTTTTTTATTTTATTACTTTTGTGTTCAATATATGATTATATATATATAATTTTTGCTAATAACCTTCACACCAGAAGAAGAAAAAAAAAAAAGAAGGAAATTAACAACAACAACAACAACAACAACAACAAAAGATAAAATATCACGTTTACTTGTATTGGAGTAATAAAGAGAACACACACACCCATACACCCACACATCTATCTAATCAAACACAGAAGCAAAGGTAAATGTAAATACATTATATATATATATATATATATATATATTGACATGTAGGGATTTTTTCTTTTTTTTGGATAGCAATATCTCTCTTTCTTTCTTCTCACCCCTCACCACATCACAACAGCACAAATACCAACAAATCACGCACAAGAAGAAAAGAAAAGAAAAGAAAACAAAACAATAACAACAATAAAAAAAAAAAAAACAAGTAAAAAGTAAACAAATAAGAAGAATGGATTCCTCTCTCCATTAACTTAACTTCTACTTCATACAGTGTTGAACAAACAATAAGAGACACGCCGATAGAATCATACTCCCAAGAAGAAAAATCGCACTTGCGGATTCAGATCCCACCATTATACCTCGTGCTCCCACATTTCCTTCCCACAAACTCATTACATGTAAAGCATAACGTGAAGTAATATCTTTATATTCTTTTTCTTCTTTTTCTTTATTTTCTTTTTCTTGTTGTTGTTGTTGTTGAATCCAATGTTCATCATATTCCCATGGTCCATTCCAATCACCTTCGGGTATACGCAGTTGTGGTGAAACAGCTGGTGCCCGTAATGTATGCAGCCAACCTAAACGCTTTAGACTTTTCTCAATAGCTGCTTGTGTGGGTGTTAGAATCCCAATATTATTATTATTATTATTATTATTATTATTATTATTATTAGAGGAATAATGATTTCTATTATCTTTCATAGTACCTACACTATAATCAGGAGTCAATGGAGCCGTATTGCCATCTGCATCACCGTATGGGAAAAGATATTTACAACGAATATTTACAGTAAAACAATTCCATAATGCTTCTACTACTTGACGATCTACAGTAACAGATGTCTCTGTTGTTGTTATTGTTTTTGTTTTTCTAGATGATGATGAAGATGAAGAAGTATGTAAGAGTAATAAACGCAAGAGGGTATCAGCAGCTTCTATAACGGCCTTTACGTTAACGCTATTTTCATCATCTTTATTATTGACTTGATCAAGTACTGTAAAGACATTTGGGTTCATATACGTAGTATTATACCGTGAGAGTGTAAGGAATACCTTTTCACGTGCCTCTTGACTATTATTATTATTATTATTATTATTATTATTATTATTATTATTATTATTAGTAGTAGTAGTAGTATTAGTAGTAGAAAGAAGATCTAATACGGTTGTAATGGGAGAATATGGTAATCGTGAAGTAGCCGCACGTTGTACACCTAATCGTTCTAATAACGCCTCTGCCTTCTGCTGTGCAGATTCCTCTTCTTCTTTTTCCTCTTTTTCCATAATAGTAGTAATATTATTATTATTATTATTATTATTATTATTATTATTAATATTATTATTATTATTATGATTGGTAGAGAAAGAAAGATTAGATGATACTCTACGATCCACATGATAAAATAAGGGTGCGGCACTATATCCCACTTGATCCACAACAATAAATGTATCAATAGCTGTAAAGTTAACTGTAGTGAAATTTAAATAATTCCTATACGCCAGTGAAGTACAATTCTCTAATCCAACACTTGCACAGGCTAACCAACTCGCATCATTTATAAATCGTCCACTTCCTACACTTCCTACATGTTCACCAGGGAAGAAAAAGACATACACATCTCGACTTTCATCCTCTTCCTCTTCCTCTTTATTCTTCTTCTGCATCTCCGTATTATTATT